ACTGCTCCTACTAGACGTGGACAGACAACCACAGGGCCTAGGGCTGGGGAGTACAGGTGCTGTCTCTGCCACTTGTCTGTCCTCCCAGGGAGCCTCAGAGGCATGACACTTGGAGCCGCTGGGGACCAGCCATCCTGACCCAGGGCAATGAGATGGGCTCTGGAGCAGCCATGGCACCAAGCTTTGGACTAGACCCAGGCTCTGAGGCAGTACTCCCCTGAGCCCCTCAGCACAGACAGTGCATCTAGAAGGGCCTTCCCTTTGGGGACACCCACTGTGCAGGTGTTAGTGTCCTCTCCCCCAGCTAAGAGACAATGAACAGCTCTGGAAATGGACAGAGATGTACACAGCAATGCACATGTACTTAATGCCACTGAACCATGTACTTGGCAACAGCTAACATGGAACATCTCAGGGCACATGTGTTACTACCACAAAAACCAAAACAAGGCTGTATTCCTCAGGACTGGACCTCAGAAGAGGGCTGTGAGGACAGAGCGGGGTGCCAGTGCAGACCAGAGGGCATCTGTGGGACCACCTGACTCACTGTGCAGCCCCCAAGCTGTGTCTGCTCTCATCTGATTGCTTCTTTCTCCCTGAACGTCTTACTCCCTGCTTTTTGCATTCTCAGAAATGAAAGATATTAATCTCTCAATTTTCAGAGTGACAATTACCTCCTCCCTTCCACCCTACCACATACCATCCTATAATCTCTTACTTAAATCACTAGATTTTTAACACTTTCATCTGATTCTAAGATTTCTTTCACATGAATTCAGGAGCATTAAACCTATAAAAATACTGAAATATGAGGTCTGACAATTAAGTTTGTGAATTCATCCTAGAAAAAGTACTCCTCCTTGCTATCACTACAGTCATCTTCAAAGTACCCCCCTTGGGAAGTTACGCACTGATGCCAGATGCCTAGTCTACCCATCAAAGCAATTTTGGAATCAGAGCTCTCATGGTCTGATAATTAACTTCATGAAATGGCCACCATGTGCTTCTGTTGGCAACACTGTACAAACAACTCAATACGGTTTCATAACCTTGGTATATTAGCTGTATATATGTATATACACAGCTGTGTTCCCATCAGCGTGGTTGTGTCTTGCTGAGTGCTCACTAGCATTGTGTGTTTTTGTGTGTTGTACGATAGCTCTGATGGTCACTCCAGAAAAAGAGTTCCAAAATTGCTTTGAAGGGTGGACTAGGTGCTGACATCAGTACATAGCTTCAAAGGTGATCAGAGTGATATTCAGCAAGGAGGTACATAATAGCTCTTTAACTAGGAGTTCAAGAACTTTTGTTAGACCTCGTATACTCGAGTCCTTAAAACTCTTTACATTACAAAAAGAGAGACAGGGTCTTACCATGTTGCCCAGGCTGGTCTCAAGCTCCTGGGCTCAAGTGATACTTCCACCTCAGCATCCCAAGTAGCTAGATTCTAGGCATATGGCACTACACCAGCTATACATTAGAATTCCCCTAAACACCATAATCATCATTATCTTTGTCCATCTTTCAGTTTCCCTCCTTCTCATACAGATTCCTTCATGGGAATAAATTCACCATGTCCAAGGATCAGATGAAATGAACTGGCTGTATTGAGCTCCTGCTCAGCTCTCCTACTGACATTTTCTGGGACCATAGAGCAATGTGGAATTTCCTTTCCTCACTTAACCCTTGATTTAGAATCTTCTAAGTGGAGCTAACTTTCACTCTGACCCAACTTCATAAGAACACAGTTGGGCCACCCAAAAGTTTAGAGTCTCAGCAGGATGAAGTTACAAGGCCACAGCAAGACCTTGGGCTCTCCTGAAACACACCAGTGCCCCTTCAGGATATTATCTTTGTCCACAACAGAAACTAGCTGGAAGAAAGTTACCTGCACAGTTGTGCAGATCGTAACTGCTAGGTCCCTGGCTGTTTCAGGGCGCGCATCAACCAACCACAACATCTTCAAACTTTTACTAAGTTTATGGGTTTTCAGAACTGAGGTGATGTCACCTGGCCATTTTCTCACAGCCAAGACAGAGGACCCAAAGGAGGATAACCATGCATGTGACTCTTCCAATCTCTTTATGCTCCACTGCATCCCATGGACCAAAGCAAAACATACAGTCAATCTCAGCACTGCCAGAAGGTGGAGCAGAAGCTGCCACCCACGACCCATGGGAGAATGGCCAAAAGCCATAAACACAGCTAGTCAGCAACTGCACTTCTCCAGAGTTGAGTCATTTAGAAGAGCCCAACAATCTGACAGCCTGCAATCGAGAACCCCCTTGTGTATCCCACCTTCCATGCCACACTCACAGAGAGCTGCAGACTCTTACAGTAGGGAGGACCTGTCTGGGCACCTAATCCCATCCCTTCAGTTTTTAGAGAAGGACACCAAGACCCAGGGAATGGGTAGGAATGGCTAATTTCACCCAAGAAGTAGTGGTAAGAACTGGGATTGTTCATGCATTCAGGGGACAGAGGAGAGAGGAAGCAGCTTGGGGACCCCAATGGACAAGAAGCATTGAGTTCAGACTCTAGCATTTCCCTCCAAATGGCTAGAGAAGTAAATCTATAAAAATATTCAAATACATTGGGGTTCTTCTTTTGAAAATTATTTTAAAAAAACTTTTAAAAAGTGAAACAGAGGCCAGACACAGTGGCTCACGCCTGTGAGACTAGCACTCTGGGAGACCGAGGTGGGTAGATTGTTTGAGCTCAGAAGTTGCAGACTAGCCTGAGCAAGAGCAAGACCCCATCTCTAAAAATTAGCTGGTATTGTGGCAGGTGCCTGTAGTTCCAACTACCAGGGAGGCTGAGGTAAGATAATTGCTTTAAGCCCAAGAGTTTGAGGTTGCTGTGGGCTATGATGTGACAGCACACTACGGTGGGTGACAAAGTAAGACTCTGTCTAAAAAAAAAAAAAAAAAGTGAGATAGGGTCTTGCTAGGTTGCAGATAACCTCTGTGAGCTTAAGCCGCCTGACATGAGAAATGGTAAATGCCACCTAGCCTTGCATCTCCCAAGTTCATGGTGACGCCAGAAGAGCTGCAGGTGTGCAAGCCCTCACACTATAAGGTACTGTTCTGCCCCATGGCTGCACCTGCCAGGCTGCTGATTTTCAAAAGCTGTCAAACCAGGATTAGCAGCTAGAGAACCATGAAAAGGGACACAACACTAAAAAGACAACTATCCCCAGGCCTTGTGGTGTCTCTAGGCTCCTCACAGACAGAGACGTCCCTTCCCTGCCAGTGCCCAGGAGCAAAGAGAGGGAAAGGGGAAGCGAAGACAGCCCCGTCAGTGGAGGGAAAGTGCTCCCTTCCCTTGGTGCCTCTCAGCTGCCCCTGGTGATGCTAGATGCTAGACTATCAGGAGCTGTCAGCTTTAGTTCTGTCTTTAAAACCAAACCTTCATACTGCTGCAAAGCCCTCTAGAATCACAGAGCTTTGGCAATAAAAGGGAAATTTCTTATTTTATAGGTGAGGGTTTTATAGATTTTATAAAATTGGGGAAGGACCTGTGTGGAAAGACAGAGAGGCTCATGCCCCCCACCCCGATACTGGACATGATTTCCAGATCATTGCCAACTCTGGAATGAAAGGACACAGTGCCAGATGCACCCAGAACCCACAGGCAAATGTTTATAGAAAGCAACTCAGGCAGAGTTCCCGGACGGCAGGGCCACATCTGCACACCCAAGCACACCCTGGCACAGTGCTTTCAGGTAACAGGACTTAATGACTATTTACTGAAGGAATGAAGGACTGTCTCCTGGGTAAGGTTTACATAAAGTAAACCTGATACATTTGTACCCTATCACTGCAAAGGATACCAAAGAAGTGACATAGGCCCCTAGAGAATGCAAGGGGATAGGGGCCCAGGCTGTCCAGCGGGAGGGAGTGAACCCCGCTCTGGGGCAGATCCACCCTGGTTCCTCCCCAAAGCCTGTGCATAAGCAGAGTCCCAGGGTTCAGGGGGAGATCCTGGCCCCAGCCCAACCTGAAGGCCTTCCGCCATGCAGGTGAGGCTAGAATGGGGCTGCCAGGGAGGTGACCCAGTGCAGGCTGGGGGGGCTTGCCAGGGAGGTGGCCTGGAGCACATACACTCCTTGCTGGGAGTGGACATGGGAGGAGATCCTCTTACTGTGAATCCTTCTCCAGCTTGAGGAAAGAAGGAAGTGCAAAAACCCTGTGGAAAGGGCCCTGGGGCTGCCAGTAGGGGCAGCTGTTACCACAGGGTAACATGAGAGTAGGTACCTGTCTCTGAGCAGCATGCAGAGAAACCAGCCCAGGCAGAGATGTCACCCAGGTTCCCCAGTCTGGTCTCCCCTTCCCCTCTGGCTCCTTTTGTGTACCCTACTGATCCCCACAGCTCAACATCTGATGCTTTTCCTGGGGCAGAGCACAACAGTTACACCTCTTCTGAGACATGTGCCCCAGTCTGCCATGCTGACCCAAGGGGCCAATGATCCAGGCACATGCCCTGGACGAAAGCTAATGTCACGGCTGGCTATCAGTGGCTCCGGAAGGAGGTATCCTGGAAACCAGAAGGCAGAGCAGACGCCTGGGAGGGGTAAGACTTCTGGTCCCTAAGTTTCAAAGCCACAGGTCCACAGTCTTGAAGATCGGCTTCCAGCAAGACAGTATGGCCCACTGATGACCCACCATTTGGGTGATCCCTCTGGCTAACACGGCCAGGGCCTGATCCTTGACGAGCCACTCATCTAGGTGGGCTGGAGTGTGGGGAAGGAATGTGCAGGGGCATGACCAGTCATAAGAGGGGCCTCTCCAGGGCTAATACCCTGCTGCCCTGGGAAGCGGTGGCTGGCGGGGTGGGGGAGTGGAGCATGGAGTGGCCTAGCTCCAGTTTCCACTAAAAAACATCTGGGTAGACTTTAACACCCAGTGAAAAGGGTAAGTGAACAAGTTCTTGGCTCCCAAATGACCTCAAAGCCTCCTGACTACCTTCCCTGACCCTCTTGGGCCCAGCCTGGGGCTCACCTGGATGATGAAGCCGGTGGAAGAACACTGTCGGACCCAGAGGCTGAACTTCCGCTTCTTCCTCTTCCTCAGCTCCCGCTCTGTGCATGTGGCAATGAACACAGGGTCCTCGTCAATCAGGGGTTCATGTAGCACCTACAAGGAGGAGAAAAGCAGAGTCCCTTTGCCTCTCAGCTCCCGCTCTCCTTCCCTATAAAAGGGTAACACCAGCACCACACTAGTATTTCAGGGAGGACTCAGTAAGACACTGTATGTCAGGTACTTTGCACAGGCCCTGACATACGGCAGATACTATGCCAAGGGAAATTACGGTCGTTGTTATTACTAATCTAAGGTACTGAGTCCTGACCCTCACTTGGTGGAGGGTCTCTGGCAGGGGTCCTGACCCTCACTTGGTGGAGGGTCTCTGGCAGGGGTCCTGACCCTCACTTGGTGG